TTTATTGGCCCGGCATCCATAAAGAGGTGCGGGACTTTTGCGAATCCTGCCCTGCTTGCCAGAAAACGAGCACCAAGAGAGAGTCCAAGGCCCCCTTGGTGCCCTTGCCCGTCGTGGGGGTTCCCTTCAACCGGATAGCCCTAGACCTGGTGAGCCCTCTGGACAAATCACATAGAGGGTACCAGTATATAATGGTAGATAAAGTCAGTGCCCTGAGAGATTATCCCGCCCCGACAACCAAGAAACAAGTGCGGCAGTTCCTGGGCTTAATTGGGTATTACTGCTGGTTTGTGCCATGGTTTGTAACCATAACGGCCCCGCTCTCAGACCTGGTGAAGAAAACACAGCTCAATAAAGTCCAGTGGTCTCCCCAGTGTGAATGAGCCTTCCGGGAACTGAGGGACCAGTTGGTCAGTCCACTGGTCTTGGTTCAACTGGATTTCTCTAGGCCCTTTATTCTACAGATGGACGCCTCAGATTCAGGACTAGGGACCATTTTATCCCAAGTAGTGGAAGGGGCCAAACACCCCGTCCTTTACCTCAGCCGAAAACTCTTGCCAAGGGAACAAAATTACGCTACCATTGAAAAGGAAGCGCTGACCGCCAAGTGGGCAATTGACTCATTAAGATACTATCGTTTAGGCAACTCCTTCACGCTACTGACAGACCATGCTCCCTTATGCTGGATGAACTCAATGAAGCAGACCAACCTACGGGTGATGAGATGGTACCTCTCATTACAACCCTACCAGTTTGAAATTGCACACCGGCCGGATAAGGACCACGACAATGCGGATTTTTTTTCACAGATGCACGAACCCCAAGGTGAGGGGAGGGACCATGAACTAAGGGTGCGGGTGTGTAATGGGGAGACTCCGGCTCCCCACTACAAGGCTGCGCCGTCCCTGGCTCTCTGGCAGGAGGCAGCCCTCCAGCCGTGGCTCCCGCACTGCCACGCCTGCGTTCAGGCGACATCGGGCCGAATGCTGGAGGCTCCACCCCCTCTGTAAGGGATGCAGCGGCCGCAGGCTGCCCCGGGCGGGCCAGGGATGGCCAGGCCGCGTTTACCCAGCGGGGTCACGCCCACCCAGAGGGCGCTGGGGATTGGACACGGGCAGGCCCCCCCAGCGTCAATGATGGAGCCGTCAGGACGGCTCAAAAGGCTGGAGCCAGCGGAAGGAGAGGAGGGGAAAGGAGATGGCTCCCTGAGGGAGGAGGCAGCTTCCAGCAGGCGAGATGGCTGGATCAGAGGGACAACAGTCCACTGACCATGGGAAGTAGGAAGCAACCCAGGGCGCAGCCGCAGAGTCCCGTGGGTTGGTGTGTTGCGGGGACCCCCTCCCCTCCACCAAGGGACACATTGTTGACTCATATCCAGCTTCTCATCCACTGTAATTCCCAGGTCTTTTTCGGCTGAACTGCTGCTTAGTCAGTTGGTCCCCAGCATGGAAGAGTACTTGGGATTCTTCCATCCCAAGTGCAGGACTCTGCACTTTTCCTTGTTGAACCTCATCAGATTTCTTTTGGCCTAATTCTCTATTTTTTTCAGGTCACTTTGGACCCTATCCCTGTCCTCCAATATATCTACCTCTCCGCCTGGCTTAGGACACATGTGCTCGGCAGGGCTAATGCAGAAATAAGCTATGCAACTTGAGCTCCGTCAATTGCATCGCCTAAATCGAAACAGCTTGTTTTTGTTTTCTGTGCTATCTACACAGCAGGAAGTCCGAGGTAGAGCACTCTTCCTGTGACATTCCTTACTCCTCGTACAATGAGGGTTACAGGAGTCGGAGTAAGCAGTCCTTCAGCTTGACATTGTTCTGACATTATGCCAAAATAAAGGCTTGCAGTGTAAATGCAGACTAGGTTATTTCGGAATAATGTCAGTTATTCTGAAATAACGCTGCTGTGTAGACATAGCCTTAATGGCCTCTGCGAACTTGCTGAGGGTGCAGCCCATCCTCAAACAGGTCATTTGATGACTGCCTCTTCTTCTTATTCCTTCTGAAGCACCTGGCATTGGCTATAGGATACTGGAGTAAGTAGATCACTGGTCTGACCAGTATGGCCATTCTGAGATTCTTATATAGAGCCATGTATATATGTATCTGCCCTTTACTGTAATCCACTAGACTCCACTCCCTTTCCAGAGCTAAGATAGAGCCCAAAAGTCCTGTCAGCTGTCTCTCTTTCTCTCTGCAGTTAATAACAAAGTCAGAATTCATAGAATCATAGAGCTGGAAGAGACCTCAGAAGGTCATCAAGTCCAGCCCCCTGCTCTAGGCAGGACCAATCCCAACTAAATCAACCCGGCCAGGGCTTTGTCAAGCTGAGTCTTAAATACCTCTAGGGATGGAGACTCCATCTGAAAATTTTAAAGCTAACCAGTGTCCCTTAGGTGACTTGCTACAAGCAGTCAGAAAATGCTAGTATTAGATCTAACATGTATTTTATGTTTTTTCTTTTTTATGGGAATTAGATACAGTGCTCCTGTCAGCTAATTGCTAAGTTATCTGCCCCAAATCTAGAGTTTCCAGTGCCTTAGTAGCTCCTGGAAAGAGGTGATATGTGTGTGTGGGAGAGCAGATGAAGTCACCTCCCCTGCAATTTGCTCCTTGACTTATACTGAGCAGGCTCAGTAACACTGTGGAAACCACTGTCCCCAGTCTGATTCCACATGATCTCCCTTTCTCCACCCCCACCACACCATGCACAGGTCATCCTGCCTATCAGAATCTGAAATGCTCCCCTCTGTGCTACATTCATGATCACAGCCCCTTCCTGAGGCGAGCAGGAGAAGGGAGTCAAAGGAAGCCAGACGTGGGACTTTGAGGGAGATTGCTTGGTACATGGACACTTCACCTATCCAAAACAAAATTAGTGAAACTCTCTGTTTTCTGGTCATGGGTTAAGCCTTTTGATGTTTGGCTGAAGCTCTGGCCAGAGGTATTGTTATGCCATACCCACCCACTGATCCAGCTCATCCAATATCAGTCTCTGGCTGTGGCCAGTACCAGCTACTTCAGAGGAAGGTACAAGAAATGGAAATGCAGACTGTTATGGAATAAGCTCCCTATGAGGATGTTTCTTTCTGATCTTCCTTGAATATGGGTAGTCTCATGCCCTGATATGACAATTTAATCCCTTATTTTTTAAAAAAATCCTACTGTAATTGTGGATATTCTCATAAATTTTAGGCCTCAGTGAGCTCTAGTAGCAATGGACTATTTATGTGTTACAGTAATAAGTCTTTCCTTTTATTTTTTCTAAATGTGCTGCCTTTTCATTCCATGGAGTAGTTCCTTTGTGTGGTTTTACGAAAAAGGCAGAACGGGAGCATACAATCTACCTCTGTACTAGTCTTTTATTTCTCCTCTTTTTGTCTCTAGTTTAAATACTTGAGGGGATTTCAATCTATTTTCTAATGAAATACAGGGCTATGTAGCACGTTAAAGACTAACAAGATGGTTCATTAGATGATGAGCTTTCGTGGGCCAGACCCACTTCCTCAGATCAAATAGTGGAAGAAAATAGTCACAACCATATATACCAAAGGATACAATTAAAAAAAATGAACACATATGAAAAGGACAAATCAAATTTCAGAACAGAAGGGGGATGGGGCGGGGGGAAGGTAAATGTCTGTGAGCTAATGATATTAGAGGTGATAATTGGAGAAGCTATCTTTGTAATGGGTAAGGTAATTAGATTCCTTATTCAGACTCAGGCGTAAAGTGTTGTATTTAAGCATGAATAACAGTTGATTTCCCTTGAAAGGGAATCCTCTGAACTGTCATTCATGCTAAAATTCGACACTCTATGCGTGGGTCTCAACAAAGACCCTAACTATCTTGCCCATTACAAAGGTAGCTTCCCCAATTATCACCTCTAATACCATTAGCTCACAGACATTTACCTTTCCCCACCTCTAATACCATTAGTTCACAAATGTGATTTGTCCTTTTCATATGTGTTCATTTTTTTTAATTGTATCCTTTGGTATATATGGTTGTGACTATTGCTCCCTGCATCCCTGTTCTGTTCTGAAATTTGATTTGTCCTTTTCATATGTGTTCATTTTTTTAATTGTATCCTTTGGTATATATGGTTGTGACTATTTTCTTCCACTATTTGATCTGAGGAAGTGGGTCTGGCCCACGAAAGCTCATCATCTAATAAACCATCTTGTTAGTCTTTAAAGTGCGTCGTAGTCCTGTATTTTGTTTCAGCTACACCAGACTAACACAGCTACATTTCTATCACTATTTTCTAATGGAAATCATTGTATTCCTCCTTACATCTCTGAACCCACTGCATTTCTGTTCATTCCTTTTCGAGACCAAAATTGAATGAAGGATTCCAGAACACTGCTCTGAAGGAGAAGTTACTCACCCATCAAGTCCTGTGGACATTAGGATTAAACTGCAAAGATAATGTGTGTGCCACAAGCTGTCACCCTGTCTATAGTCAGAGAGACTGAAAGGAAGTGCTAGACCTAAAGCAAGGGACAGACACTGCTCCCATTTCTTTCCTCCCAGACACCTTTGATTTGCACTAGTGAAAGGGAGGTGAGATTCAGACCTGGTAAGTTCTCGTCATTGATAATGAAAATGTTTGATGTCAAAAGTATCATAATACTGGACATCTGCCGGCACCTATTTGCAGAGGAGGAGGGGAGCTTGGGTCTGGTTGAAGTTGGGAGGTGGGCATGACAATCAAGGGATCTATGAGAATGTAGAAAGAAGGGTTAATTTGGGTTGTGTGTTAAAAATAAAACCATAGATCCTCACATTTCAACAGGCCTACCTATGGTCCTGCCTATCTCCCTATTTCTTTCTAACAAGCAAAACTCCATTATACAATTTCCATGGCCAAAATTGGTTACCATGATTTCTAGATCTGAGCAGAAGAATTTAAGGTGGCAGTAGGCCTATCTACCATGTAGGTAAAACCCATCTACCATCTGTGCAAATGTCCCAGAATATTTAGGTGACACTCACCAACTTTCTTAGCAGATTTTTCCAGCTCCTTCAAGAAAAAGTCACATTTCCCCTCATTGCCAACAAAGCAGAAGGTATAGGCCAGGAGTGCTTGGGTGTAAACTTTGCTGATTTCTTCTTCAGATGCAGCCTCTAAGCAAAATAGACCATTTCGGACCACTGGGTGCTATAAAGAAATACATTAGATCTGTCTGTGCATATGGGACATACATCTTCATCCAGGCAAATTTTTCTGTTCCAGAACATTCCAGGCTGAATTTATCTGGCCACCATCACAGTAGTGAACACAGAACCTTCTAGGTCCAAAAGGACTGCAGCGGGAGGAAGATTTTCAGGACTTGCCAGACGAGGGCAGTGTTTCTCAAAGCGGGTCGCAGGCCACATTGAGAAAGCTGCTAATGGGTCACTTTGGTTTGTTTACATAACGCCTCCACAGCCATGAAGCACTGCGGTTTGCAGTTTGCAGCAGGGGGAGATGTGGGAAGCAGTGTGGCTCAGGCCCACTTTGAGAACACGGGAGACGGGAAACACCATAAAGCAGGCTTCCCTTTGGTTTCATTATTGACATTAAAAAGGGAGTATAAATGAAAGCCCATTCTACCCCTGCTCCTCCAATCACTGCTTGCTTAGCTTGACAAGAAGTTATTAAGCTTCCTCTGGTAATATCACACTCTGTAGTCATGGATAAAGACTTAATAGTATGGGTAAGATTTTGCGCTCAGGGCCTCTAGTATCAATCCATTGACAGCTATGGTATTGTCCTGGTTTTACACCAACATGTACACCATTTGGACGTTTCCTAGGCCTGCCCTGAACTTTCTCCTGGGTCTGAGTGACTCACATTTGAGGCTGAGATATACCACACAAACAAGTGCCTGATGAGTTTGTAGGCATGTCTGACCTTTCATTTAATCAGCAGTTATGCTAAGCTGTACACTCCACTAGCCCCACCCAGGCAGTGCCCTCCGATTGAAGTGGAATTTCTGATTGATAACAAGGGTTTATAGATCTGTTGTTATGAACAGCAATGAATGCATACACATTCCATGCAGACACATGTCTGAGGAGCATCACTTCCAGCACCCAGGCAATTTGTAAGAGATTGTGGGGCCAAGCCAATTCACTGAAAACAGATACAGAAGGGTAAGCACAGGGAAGAAAGCCTTACCACACTGGGGTGTCCAGCCTCAAGCAAAGCCGTGGTGATGTAGGCTGTGAGTGAAAGCTGGTCATCAACTCCTCCCTGAATGAAACACAACAGAAGTAGTCAGTTTGAGGGGGCGGGATGGCTGGCCTTCTCCCCATGGAGGAGGTGATGTCCTACACCAGAGAGGTTCCCATAGTTCTGTGAAGCCTGGGCAAAAAGTTCAGGATAGCAGCTCTCAAATTGGTCACAAAGATTTGCTGGCCACATCAGACTTACCCTGCTTCTTTCTTTCTTTGAAGCAGCTTCCTAGGTAGCAGGTTCGCAGAAATGTTGGTTGTGCCCAAAATGCCTAGAGTTTGCACCCCTTCCTTGGAAGTCCCTTTTCCCCTGACATGTCTAAAATTCTGTGAGGGAGTTTGGGTACTGGATAGGGACAACTGGTGAGGGGAAATATGAAGGGGTCACCGACCATGGGACTGCCCCCCCTCCCAGCCCAGAGAAGAGCCAGGACAACCCCCTTCTGCCCCAGGCCCTGCCTTTCCATGCCTCTGCCCTGCCCTCTCCCCTCCTCTTCCTCTGGCTCCCTCCCCACAGCAACTCAGCCAGGGAGACTAGTGGGGCGGGGGGCTGGTCTAGCATGTGGGACTGCCTCCCTACACTCACCAGCAGCAGCAGCAGAGGAAGCAAAGCCCCAGATGCACCCCCAGTCATGTCGCTCTGCTCCCACCAGTGAACAGGGGTGTGTGGGGGTGTAGTGAGTGAGATGCCAGGAAATTTAGGAGTGAGGATGCAATTTGGCAGCATTAAGACAGTGCTTTTCCCATGAAAAGAGAAGAAGTTTGGCAGGGAACAGAAATATGTCACCTTCAAGGCATTGTTGAAGAGTTTCCCAACACTTTGGAAGCAGCCATTCGACTTCTGTTTGCTTGACAGCCAGATCAGCGTTTGGGATTGGACACTGTCGTCGATATAGATATAGGGGGAGGCTTGATGAAATGACTTGTACACGAAGGCGGTGAGCCTGCACAACACAGATATGAGTGAGCAGTCAGTAGGAATCTAAAACAGCAAAACAGCAGAGTCCCTCTGCTCCCCTACACACAGGCCAGGAGAGGAATGAGTCACAGAGGATGGGATTGAACTATTTCTTTTAGCTCTCTGTAAAACACTGGCTCTGTGTTTATGCGTATAACAGGTGAATTTACAGAGAAAAAAAAGAAGGGACCTACATCAGTAGCAATTAAATTCTGCCTTAGCCTCATCGACAGAGCTATTTATTCTTAGGCCTGCAGAGTTCTAGTCCATGTTCTTTACAGGTGTGTTTTATTTATTTAGTAAAAGTGTCTTTCAACTTCAGCTCATAGTTTTATTACCAGCCCAGGCCTCAGCCATCTTCCCAGCTCTCACCATGTGTTTCCTTCTTTATCTCTAGTCCCAAAGATACTGTAGGATCCATCTGGGTGTTTGTATGACAGCTGTTTCTGGTACCCTGAAAACACACAAGGAGGAGGGCATGTTTGCTGATTAAAACAAATAAAATCCCATTTTAATGTACCATCAAATAAACCCAGAACCCCAACTGGAGGATAAGAAGGGATTAGAATGAGCCCGAGGGGCTGAAAGGAGCAGAAGACCTTTGACTTAGCATCGAAGCTTGAGGGAAAGGAGCAAGGGGAGTGTGGGCGCTAGGGACTGACAACAAAACCAGTCTTTTGGAAGGGGTAGGAAGAAAAGGCCTAAAAGGAGCAGTGGGTGGGGAGGGGACTGAAGTAGCAGGATAGTGAAAGGAACAGTTTCAAGCAGACCTACTAACTGGTCTTCAGGAGGAAGCAGGTCAGCAGGCATTACAAGGCAGTCGCATGGTTCAGTGTGCTTAGTTAAAAGAAAAATGCGACACTATCAGGGTAACTTCATAGCATATGCTCAATGGAGGGAGGAGGATGTCACAAATTAAGGAGAGGTGCCTCACCGCTGACTAAGTAGCCGATGGCCTTGGATTTGGTCTCCTCATTCAGCTGCCTCGTCTTATTCAGGTAGTTTAGAACGTAGATATTGGGGGCAAACAGGACCATGTTCTGCTCCCCGCAGCCAAAGGGCATCTGGAGGAGCTGCTGCAGGTTCTGCATGGCCGTGCCCAGGATATCTCCTGGGAATAAAGACCCAGAGAGTGAGAGTCACACAGAGCCTACATCAGAGGCTCTACTGCGGAAAAGTAACACTAGTCCACTAGGCAGGTACCCTCAAACTGGCTGAGATTCTAGAATTAACCCCTCTTGTAGAAATTCTACCCTGGCTTTGCTGTGTTCTCAGTGAGGGTATGTCTACACTACCCTCCTAGTTTGAACTAGGAGGGTAATGTAGGCATACCGCACTTGCAAATGAAGCCCGGGATTTGAATTTCCCGGGCTTCATTTGCATAAGCCGGCCGGCGCCATTTTTAAATGCCGGCTCGTTCGAACCCCGTGCCGCGCGTTCCACGAGGCGTACAGATAGTGCGGAATGGCTTGCTAGTTCGAACTATCTAGCCCGTGCCGCGTGTAGCCGCGTGGCACGGGGTTCGAACGAGACGGCATTTAAAAATGGCGCCGGCCGGCTTATGCAAATGAAGCCCGGGAAATTCAAATCCCGGGCTTCATTTGCAAGTGCGGTATGCCTACATTACCACCCTAGTTCGAACTAGGGTGGTAGTGTAGACATACCCTGAGGCAGTAGTTCTGGGCAGGCACAGGAGAACAGATTTGTTCTGTTCTAAAGTAGACAAATGCCAAAAAAACGCCAAACAAGAGACTTGTGCAAATCATACTCTGTTGGCTGCCTCACATGCACTTTGCCATCTAATCTGCATCAGAAATACTTTGAATGTGGCGAACACCTGCAAAGCACTAACCAGCTGCTTTTTACTATTTTAAAAGAGAGAGCAAAAAGCTCCTCAACAGATAAGGTTTCTTCCATTTCGAGAAAGTTACACTTGTAACAGCCTGGGCAAAAAAGCCTGGACCAGTGACAGGTTTTTAAGAACGCCTAACTTAACAGGGCTAGAAATGGGTACTTTAGAGCAGAAGTTTCCAATATCTTATCTCCAAAGCTATCCTCCATAAAAAACTGGGTGCTTATAACATTTCCTCTTTATTTCCAGATGTTAAATCATATTACGAAAGAGCTGAAATGCATCAAATTCTTTCCTCAATGTTATCCCAATGGTAAGCTCAGAGAGCAGGTAGGTAAGGTCCCATGAGAAACAAGACTAAGGAGAAAAACAACTCAAGAGAGTTGGCAGTTTTTCAAAGGAACATTATTAGGGGCCCAAAAGCAAGCACTTTTCCTCTGTGTAGGAAAGATAGAAAGTATAGCAAAAGGCCACTTTGGCCTAACGAGGAGATCTTGTATGATCTAAAAATAAAAAAGGAATCATATAAAAAGTGGAAACTAGGACAAATTACAACGGATGAATATAAGCAAACAATAAGGCTATGTCTATACTGGCGGGTTCTGGTGCCAGAAATATGCAAATGAGGCTAAGCATGAAATATCGCAGAGCCTCATTTGCATATCGAATGAGCCGCCATTTTGCGGAAGAGGCTCTTGCACCAGTTCTCGCGCAAGAAAAGCCCTCTTGCGCAATGCTGCTATGCTGATTATTGTTCTCCTTTGCCTCTGAGGATAGGATAAGAAGCAATGGGCTTAAACTGCAGCAAGGGAGGTTTAGGTTGGACATTAGGAAACTTTCTGTCAGTGGGGTTCAACTCTGGAATAAGTTGCCTAGAGAGGTTGTGGAATCTCCATCACTGGAGATATTTAAGAGCCGGTTAGACAGGTATCTATCAGGGATGATCTAGATGGCCCTGGGTCCTGCCATGAGGGCAGGGGACTGGACTCGATGACCTCTTGGGGTCACTTCAAGTTCTAGCATTCTATGATTCTATACCTTTCCATGTAAGAAATTGCTCCAGTTGTCACATGGATGCCCTGAAGTGGAGGAAGAGTATCTGGGTGATCATTAATCAGGTAGGGGACAGAAGGGTCCAGCAGTCATTCTCTATTATATTCCCACTATGAAAAACTTTAGGGACTTCAGTGCAGAGATTCCTGGTTCCTCTTTGGGACACCTAGAAATTGCATCTCTGGCTTGGTACATCCCTGAGTATCAGGCCTTAAAACTGCAATGCAATGTATTTCAAAATAAATTATTTTAGTTCCCCTTTCATGGTCTGGATAATTTAACTCACAGAGGGATACAAAAGAATTTTAATTGAGCTTACTAGGGGGCTGTGCCCCCTGCTTGCTATGCACTCCAACCTAGCACAATTGATTTATGGTTTTATCAGTTGTGAATAATACAGCTTGATAGATGGGATGATGGGGAGGCAAATGTTTTATTGGCATGAGTTTAGGCTGGGTGCATTAGTTATGAGTGGCAAAGAAATAAGTTGATCCTAACAAGTACCAATAAACCCTCTATACCAAAAGAAAGGTCTAAAGGAGCATCACAAACATTCAGAAACTGGATTTCTCCCTTCTGGTGAAGAGGGTGTCTCCTAGCACTGAAAAACTAGATGGTGAATTTCTAAGAGGCAGGAATAAGCCTTCTTGCTGAGAAGTTTGTTTATCTTGAGATACAAGAATCTCAACACAAACGTTATAGATTTACCAGTCACAGAGCAAGAGGCTCTGGCTGACCCTTCCACCAGGTTTTCAGGTAGTTTCAGAGATATTGGTTCAGTGGTTGTGGAATCTGTGAGGAAAATATAGGATTAAAATTGATATTTTATACAGCAACTTTTATTTAGCAACTTTTATTTAGCAACTAACTGCTTTGTGTAAAAAATTAAAACGAATGAACATCATAGGACACCGACAATGGGGAACGGCGTATCAATTGTAAGGAGAGAAGGAGACACAGTAAAACAACTACAGCTAAAGCTCGACAAAATGAGGCAAATCCTCAGCTGATGTAAGTTACCACAATTCACTGAAGTCATCCTAGCTAGGGAAGGTCAGTACTCACAGACTGTGATGGTACTTGTGGTGGCCAGGAACCCAGGTTGAAGGAACCTCTTCAGCAAGACACTTGATATGGAGTATTGGTGAGGCTCAGAGTCCTCATTGTTCATTCCCTTCATTAGCAAACGGTTTCCCAGGGCCTCCACATCAGCTTGGCTACTGACTATTCTTCATGGAAAAATCCGTTCTAAGGCTTTACTGTGCCCTGTCTATCTCTCCAGTACCAGCCCCACTTCCCGGCCTCCCTGGGAGAGGGAAACTGAAAAATTAAACTCTGAGGGGAGGCCATCATTAAAATTTGCTAGCAGAGGGCCCATGACATGCCTGAAATAGTCCTGTGAACTTTGTATCTTAGGCAGTTATATGGCCCTTTATACTGTTAACAAGCACTACCATACCACTAGAGCAGTGGTCTCCAACCTTTTTAACCACAAGATCACTTTTTTAAAATTTAAGTGCAATGTAAGATCTGCCTCAAACCCAAATACCCTTGCCCCACTTTCTTCTTGCCTCTTCTTTGAAGCTCTGTCCCTGCTCCACCCCTTCTCCGAGGCCTCACCCTATTCACTCCATCCCCTCTTCCTACCTGAATCTCATTCACTTTCACCGAGCTGGGCAGAGGGTTGGGGTGCAGCCTCCGATCTTGGGTTTGGAGTGTGGGAGGGGCTCCAGGATTTGCCCAGCTGGGAGGATTGGGATCCAGGAGGGGGTTCAGGGTGTAAGATCTAATAAGCAGTTTGGGTGCAGAGGGACTCAAGTCTGGGGCAGGAGGAAGTTCAGGGCTGGGACAGGGGTTCAGGAAGCAGGCTCTGGCTGGGCACCGTTTCACTGAGATGGCTTCTGAGTGGTAGAGCAGTGTGGTTAAGTCAGGCACACTCCTGCTCTGGCCCTGCACCACTCCTGAAAGCAGCTGGCATGCACAGCCATGGCTCCATGGCGCCATGTGCTGCCCTCATCTACAGGCACTGAGCCCACAGCTTCTACTGACCACAGCTCCCCATTACTGATCACTGCGAGCTACAGGAGCAGTGTCTGCAGGCAAGGACAGCATGTGGAGACTCCCTGCCCTGCCTCTCTCAGGGGCTGCAGGGACATGCCAGCCACGTCCAGAGCAGCAGTTACCACGGGGATAATGACTCCAGCCATGACAGGTTCGGCATTTTAGAACTCACTGCTCAAAGAATTAAATGTAAGCGTAAGAGAGAAATGAAAATGCTGAAATGCACAGACCAGTCTAAAACCCAAACTAACCCACTTTGCAAGCAGTAACAGAAGTAACAATAACCCCCCACATATGTGTTGGATCGGGATATGAGAGGGAAGGACAGTGTGTGTGTTTGTGAGAATGACACACACAACAACATTTTGTAATATGCAGTTTAAATCTAAGGCAATGTCTAGACTCTGCCGTGTCCAGGGTATGCATTTGATCTTCTCCTTTTTTTGGTGGGGGGGGGGGGGGGGAGGGACACCCTGACATCAGCAACCCACTTCTTCCTCCCACACCCTGCACAGCAAGCAGGAGGATCCCAGGAGAGCAGCTCCAAGACAAGGAGCAGTTGGACAATAGAGGCAAGGGCAACTGAAGTGCCAGTGCTTGATAGCTTCCTGGCCAAACCAGTCAGGATCACTTGTCAGAGGCTCCAAGAACTATGGATAGATCCCGATCCACTGCACTACAGGTACAGAGACACAAAGAATCTGGCCACATTGAAGACTAAATCCAGATCAGTGGGACCATGTTTAAACATTCACCCTGCATTGTAAATCTGGGGTTCCAGTTGCCAGATGCTAGTCTCACAACTGTGCTAACACATCCATATTGAACTACTCTGAGCTTCTGACTTGAGTCTGCAACTTGAGCTGTACCCACAGTGTGCAACAGCAAGGCTTGGACCTAAGTCACAGCAGGACTCAGGCTCTTCCCCACCCCCAAGCAGACTTCTAGGAACCAGAGTGCTTGCTGACCCAAATCAGAGTGGCTTGCATGCTGGGGCTTGCACTTAACCTGAGACAGAGTCTGGCCAGGGCTGGACCACAACATTTTGGCACCTGAGGTGGGGAGCTCAAATAACGCCCCCATATCCCCTTTTTTCCTGCCAGCCTATGTCATGTCTCTTGTGCCCTCCTTCCTCCAGCACAGCACTCCACCATCTCTGTGCATCTAGAGCAGAGACAATACATGTGCACCAGCAGCAGACACAATTTTCTATACTCTGGTCCTAGTGGCGCCCCTCTCCCCACAGTCTTGCACCTGAGACGGCCGCCTCAGTTCGCCTCATGGTAAGGCCAACCCTGAGTCTGGCTTAGCATGCAGCAGAGACATACTCATACCCAAGGTTACACAGGAGGTTATTAGCATTGCAGGAAATTGAACTCTCATTGTCCAAGTGCTAGACTAGTCCCCTACCACTCGGGTGATCCTTCCTTACACATCTAGGTACCTGTGGTACAGTGACAGGGAGCTGACTCAGGGATTTAAAAAAATTAATTAGTACCACGGGAAAGAGCTTTGGTCCCAATCAACAAGTATGGAATTTGGAGAGATGCCCTTACCTTTTGTGCAGATGAGGTTGCTCTGGGTTACTGTCTTTTCGATGCCTTCAGGCTGGTGTGTGGAGTGGAGAGAGGAGATACATACCGCACATCAGAATGAATATTACAGAAGAAAATAGAATCACAGAACATTAGAACTGGAAGGAACCTTAAGAGGCCAACAAATCCAGTCCCCTGCCCTCACAGCAGCTCCAAGCACCATCTAGATCATCCCTGACAGATATTTATCTAACCTACTCTTAATAGCTCCAGTGTTGGAGATTCCACAGCCTTCCTAGGCAATTGATTCCAGTGCTTAACCATCATGACAGTTAGGAAGTTGTTCCTAATCTCCACCTGTGACAGGGTGTGCATACCCCACACGGGTCCAAAAGGATTAAAACACTAAGCAAAGGAAGTCCCACCCCTCCAGCCAGACTGGGAATGCTCCAAGTCCTGGAGCAGTATAAAAAGGAGCAGCTCAGCTCAGTCTAGGCTGGACACTGGAGAGGAAGGACCTGCCACAGGAGTTCCAAAGGTAACCTAGTCAGAGACCCAGATGACAAGAGCCAGAGACCCAGGAGACCATTTTGTAGTATCCTTTGAACAGGTCACTATGGCCTCCTGCTGGCCCTAGGAATACTAGGCCACTCTGTTGGCACCATACTTAACAGGACAGGCACAGTTGGCCTACTCCTACTTGGTTCCCAAGATGCCCTGGATTATGTATGAATGAAAGCGGCCATACAGGACAGTACCAGTATTAGCCCTGAGGCATACTGTTAAAGGTTGCGCAAAGAAAGGTACCCTGCAGGGGCTCAGTCACAGACTGTGGCTCAATGTATCTGGGACCACTGCTGCAAGTGATTGATCCTGGAGGGATTAACTGGATGCCAGGTGACAGAGTTGGTGGCCCTTGAGCAGTTTGTACAGGTGCTTCTTGTAGGAGCAAAGTAATGGGTTGAATGCCACCAGCCAACAATGCTGGCAGCTGCAGTGTGCGTAATGGAGGATTACCTGGTGGCAGAAGAGACCGGAACCCAACCCCAGTGCTCAGAAAGCCCAAGGAAACAAGAGGGTCTGGGACAGATGAAACCACAGAGGATGGAGTTGCTAAGGTTCCCACATACAGCTTTCCCAGGACACGCTGAACCCTCCATGATGGAGTACCAACAACCAGTTTCCCAAGGCCCTGCAGGAAAGGAAAGGTATCAAAGAGGAGAAAGAGGCCTGCTTAAGGAAGAACCAAGGTGTACAGGGTCCTGGGACTGTTGTTGGGGATGTGGCCAAGATGGACACTTTCAGAAAGAGTGCCTGTATATGGACTGTAATTATGGCCAAGTCTGGGTCACAGGCCACTGAGTACAGAAACCCGGTCTGGGAAAATTAGTGATTCCAGTGAGAGTGAAAGGAGTAGATCCTGGTAGACTCTGGCTGCAGTTAGATCATTATACAGGAGGGCCTAGTCCATATACTCACGATCTCTGTGAATACAATCAACTTCAAGCACATTCATGGGGAAATACATCCCTGTCCAACTGCCCGGGTAAGGTTTGAGGTCTGTGGTTGGAAAGACTGACCTACCCTGTGGTGTTAGGCTGAGATTGGTCCTTGTTTTAAAGAGGCTGTGTGAAACTGTGAATATTTACCTTCAAGTAAATGTCAACCCAGGGCTCCAGAAGAGACTACAGGGGCTTCCTCTTGAAATCGATCCCAAAGAAGGGCTATATAACCTCCTGGGATCTGCAGCAAACTCTAGCCTGGATGTGAATCCATTAGATTGAGCTGGAAAGGGACATAGACTTCCTGCAGGAACAAAGGGAGGACCAAACTTTGAGTCAAGCTTGGGAGCAGGCAAAGGCCCCAATCCAGAAGAAATTGGTGCAACAACACACCTGCCAAGGTCATGGTTTGAGATCTGGAAGGGCTGTCTATATCAGGTGGGAGTGGACCCCAGACACAAGAACAGATTCACCAACCTCTGGTTCCCTGGAGACTGCGGCAAAGCCTCCTACACTTAGTAAGGATGTTAAGGACTGGTCGACTAGTCAACTATCGGATAAGCAAATGGGGGAAGAGAGGGTACTTCAAAGCAGCAGCACTGCACAGAGCCCCTACTGAGCTTCGTGCGGCGCTGCCACTTTGAAATGCCGAGGCGGAGTTTCAAGGGGCAGCACCACACAGTTGATCCCCGGCTCAGCTGCAGTGCTGTCTCTTTGAAAAGCCACAGCAGCATCTGTAAGTAGGATGCTTACAGATACTCCATCAGGTTTTATTGTTTTCCTTGTTTGCGGGTTTGGAAATCATGTCTGACCTGGTTAATTGTTCTTCTCTTCTGTAACTCAGGATTACAACCCAGGGATTTCCCCTGAGTCTATTTCACTGCATAGCTTTTAACACCCAGTCATTTACTATGCTTGCAACAATAGTCTTGTTTTGATAATAAAAGTGTTTTTCCTTTTTTTTTTTATTAACTGGTATTGGTTGATATTTTTGTGTCCTTAAACCTACGTGCCCATGTTACCTGGAAGGAGTAGAGCCCCATTGTTCTCTGCGGAGTCCCTCTGTTTGTTTTCCAAACTCCAAGCATAACAGAGGTTGGAGTGGGGGGTGGAGAACTGCCTCAGGGAGGGGATTCCCAAATGATCTCTTCCCTGGAAAAGGATTTATTTTATATTTTTAAAATTACTCTTGGGTCACTTAGATCTCAGGGAAACTGAGACACCACAGGGTAGGTCAGTCTTTCCAACCACAGACCTCAAAGTTTGTCTCTGGGAGTTAGAGACAGATTCTTACAGAGTTTATTGTGCTAGCCAGGCTCCATATCTACACTCAGATTGGGGAATTGAGCTGTGACAGCTGGCTTACACACAGACCATCACATTTACTGAACACTCATCCTCCCAACATCATCTGTATGGCAGTGGCATCATTCCTAAACTGAACACTTGTGCCTAACTGTAGGGTAAACTGAGGCAGTCCATGGTATTTTGCTAAGTACCTCTATTCAATCCTAAATTTGAGACAGGCCTGGGAACACATGGCACAGGCCATTAACATGACCCTGGTCACCTTGGCAACCACATTCCAAGAGGGCCTCACTACGATAAGACACTGGCTGGTACCAAAACAAACTTTGTTAAGGTTAACAAGTGTGATTTGTGCTCACTGTCTTCCTTTAATCCTAGATAATGGGCTTGGAACCAAAGGACCACGCCAACGCGAGGCAGTATCCTCCCGAAGTAGACGCATCATAACTCCAATAGACAAAGCTGCCATTGAAATGTCTGTCTTTTTTATGTTGGCTTATTTAGCTTGTTAGGAATTATTGATTCCTGTATTATTGATAAAATGTTTAACTGCCAATGGGGGGAGATGTTATGTAATCTTTCATAGGTTATTGGCTTACATGCTCATTTTGTCGTGCTGCTAGAACTTATCAAATTGCTTCTCCTCCGTCCGTCTGTCGCCTATATAATCTATTGTAATGTTTTATTTAACCAGTGTTCACCAGGTTAACCCCTGTCACTCCACCAGTGTTGAGTGTGTAAAATATCCTCTGACTTGTTTTCACCTGCATTCATAGGGTCCAGACTTATTCCCTACAGCTGAAGGCTCATCTGGGATCCAGGCTTCTGAGCTGATCAGGAATTGGAGACTGACACCCAAAGAGAGGTGAGTATGTTTATTTTACCACCTCATTAGGCCAGGGTTTGAAGTCTCGCATTCCCTTCAGACACATCCTGGTTCCATTCCCATCTGAGGCACGAGAAACCTGGATGTGTATGAACCAAGCATAAAAGGCAGTCCTGAGGGGGAACCCTTGTGGGGACAAGCACAAGAGGGCAGTATACTGTTTGAGCTAAGGGGCTGTTACGGAGGGACTGGATAAACCACCAGGGAGTTATTGAGCCATACGTTAAGCTCAGAATTGACTGGGTACAGCAGGCGGCGGGCAGTATGAACTGGTGGTCCACTCTTTCATTGCAAGTAACATTGAAAGACCTGACAGAAGCACCCTGATAGGCACGTGACATATACACCCTCAAATAGTGCAAGTTCTCATTCCAGTTGGCAGTGGGAAGGGTGCCAAAGGCACAAGAACCACGGCGGTATAAACTGTATACAGCAGTGTTGGAAAGCTGATCTGCGGGTGTGCCCTTTGGGACACGGGACAGCAAAACTGTATGCAGAGAAAGGGAGGGAGAGATTTCCAAGATTCCCGGTGAGTGAGATGTCAGTGGCTGTGACATCCAAGGAAGGAAAGCTGCGTGCATCCTCTGTAGAACCCCAACACTTGATCCGGGGACGGAGGAGGCCTGTGCCCACGTAATCAATGTTGGAAAACAAAAACAAAAAAAGAAGGGCCTCTCCCAAACTTAGGGGGGAATCCAGCAGTACAACATCACCCTCTCTACTCCTCTCTATGCTCAGCCCCATACGGGTCATTGCCACACGCTGCTGAGGAAAAAGAGAGGGCACAGACGATACCTGAAAGGGACCAGATTGTCCATATGGCCCCGATTAAGATACAAACCAGGAGAATAAGGAATATTGACGAGGATGGAAACGTAACACGGGGATTCCACTTCAAAACCACCTTGGAGTATCGTCCATTCACCCCCCTGAAGAAACAGGCCCTCGTAACAGAGCTGCCCGATCTAAAGCGAAATAATAAAAACACCTAATTTTGGGATAAGCTGGACAGCTTAGGGGAAATGCATGGTTTACACAAGAAGGATATGCACATCCTGGAAAAGTGTAAATGCCCCAAAGATCTGTGGGAGAATTTAGAAGAAAGGTGTACATCCCCGAAAAAAAAGAAAACAAAATTAAAAAAAAAAAGGAAGGATGGATTGAGGGCTAAGCAAGACAGAAGCCATGACATCACAGGCAGGAGTGAAAGCTGGCCCACTGAAATATTTAGAATACAAACATGCACAGATTCGGCAAGCGGCTGTCAAAAAGGCAGGGTATACTGCAGCCACACCAGAGAAGGATTTGATCAAGTGGTGGACCAAACATAAGAGTGGCAAAATTGAGAAGGCAATAACAACATTGCTAGATATCCTTGCATTAAAAGAGAAAGAAATTAAGGTCCTGAGGGATGATATTGAAGCTCAAAAGAGAAAAAATCCACCCCACAGTGAGGAATGTAAACAACAAGCAGCAGCACCTCTGTGCCAAGAGAATGTATTACAAGGGAGAGAAAAGAACCTCTCAGCTGGCGCGCCCATACAACTGCGCCGCCTCTCCCAAACTTAGGGGGGAATCCAGCAGTACAACATCACCCTCTCTACTCCTCTCTATGCTCAGCCCCATACGGGTCATTGCCACACGCTGCTGAGGAAAAAGAGAGGGCACAGACGATACCTGAAAGGGACCAGATTGTCCATATGGCCCCGATTAAGATACAAACCAGGAGAATAAGGAATATTGACGAGGATGGAAACGTAACACGGGGATTCCACTTCAAAACCACCTTGGAGTATCGTCCATTCACCCCCCTGAAGAAACAGGCCCTCGTAACAGAGCTGCCCGATCTAAAGCGAAATAATAAAAACACCTAATTTTGGGATAAGCTGGACAGCTTAGGGGAAATGCATGGTTTACACAAGAAGGATATGCACATCCTGGAAAAGTGTAAATGCCCCAAAGATCTGTGGGAGAATTTAGAAGAAAGGTGGAGATCTGGGTGCTGGGCTGAGGACACTGTCCCGGACCCCTTCGACCCTGGGGAACAGATGGAGAACAGAGAGGCGGGAGACTTAGATGGGCTTAAAACTGCCCTTGCCACAGCCTTAGGAGCTCGCACCACCAACTGGGGAGCACTGGGCTTAGTCACCCAACAGAAGGGAGAGTCCATCATATCATATGCTGAAAGAAAATGGAATGCCTTCTGTTTGTATTCTGGGCTAGACGGCATAACACATAGAGATCACGAGGTGTTCCTCCAAATTCTGAAGGAAGGGATGTCCGCTGACCATCAAGCCATATTGGCCCTAGGCATTTCACCCAGAAACACCTATGTGGACATAACGAAGTGGGCTACCAATTTAGAGAACATGAAGAAAAAGGCAGCTTCTGTAAGTGCAGTAGAGGAAGAAGCCGCAATTAATTCCATCAAAGCTATTCTCTACTACACTTGTAGGAAGCCAGGGCACATAGCACGGGTCTGTTGGCATAAAAAGAAGCCCAAACATTGCACCCACTGCAAAAAGATCGTCCATACTAAAGAAGAGTGTTTCCACCCTGGAGGGGGAAAGGCAGGCCAATGGCCAAACAAACAGAACAAACCTGTTGCTCCTAGCCCCCAGGAGCAAGAGAGTGGCATACAGGAGCAGGAGAAAGCTGCCAAGCCACTCCAGGAGATTAAGATCCTTGCCAGCAATTAGGTAGCAGTGGCATCTGTGGCTGGAACTGCGGGCGACCTAAGGATGTTTAACGCACGAGCAGGGGGCTGACCGTGCAAAATGTTAACTGACACCAGAGCCTTAGTCTCGATAACTAGCCAAAACCTTCCCCTCACATACCGACATATTTGGCTTAAGGGTTTGGGGGGAGGTAAAATAAAAGCCATCCTAAGTCAACTGGTAGAAACTGAATTTGAAGATGTATTCACTGTAAGCCAAATTTGAGTTTGTCCCGAACACAGGGACACAATCTGCAGCATAGATCTCCTTACAGTGCTCCGGGGAATCATTAACCCCAGAGCCAGCAGCATCAGGGGAAGCCCGACAAATAGAACCACCCCGAGACATTGCCCTGATCTCTTGTAGCGAGATCGCTACCCCTGAGTGGGGGGAAAGCTTAATAGAAACCCTCTGCTCCCTGCATTCCAGAGTTTGGGCCACTGATAAACAGGACTGTGGGATAGTAAACATGGAGCCTGTAGTCATAGAAGGACCTTTACATAAAGCTCACAGGCAGTACCCAATTAAACCAGAAGCTTTAGAGGCTGTCAAGGGTATAGTCAAAGATCTGGAACACAGGAGGAGTGGTCCAGAGGACCACCTCTACCACAAATTCCCCAATATGACCTGTCCAAAAGCCCAATGGGACGTGGAAATTAACCATAGATTATACCCACTTGAACAGAGTGACCCCCAAAGCTCACCCTATTGTGGCAAGTCTCGCCATTATTCTTAACTTACTGAGCCCAACTCATTCGGTATTTACAGTCCTGGATGTAGCAAATGGATTTTGGAGCATTTCCCTTGTTAAGGAGAGCCAGGACAAATTTGCATTTACCCTTGGGGAGCAGCAATATACGTGGACTCGTGTACCATAAAGATACCACGGGTCACCCTCAATCTTTCGTAAAGCTATGGCAAAAACCTTGGAGCAGGTCCAGATGGAAGGAGACACAGTAATATTGCAATATGTGGACGACCTGATAATAGTCAGCTCAAATGAGAAGGATCACTTAAAAACCCTGATCCGGCTAATAATTCAATTCCAAGGAGCCGCATTCAAACTAAGTGCCCAAAAGACTTAGCTACAGCAACACAGAGTCTTATACTTAGGGCATGAAATATCGCAGGGCCAGAAGGCTCTTACTGTGGACAGAAAGCGAACCATTCAAGAATTACCGAGACCACAAACTGTTAAGGAGGTCTGCAAAATTCTGGGTCTCCTAAACTACTGCAGAGCATACATTCCTGAATACTCAGATATAGTGGAAACAATCCAGACCCTCACTAGAGGAGGGAAAGCTGATAACGAGCTGGTACCATGGGGGGAACCCCAGGAAGAAGCATTTAAGAAAATAAAGCAGGCTCTAGCCTCTGCCTCCTGTCTCGGCTTGCCAGACTTATTCCCTTCACTAACCAAGGTGGCTGTGAAGTAAGTGCACTTTAGGACACTTGAAGTATTCTGATTTGCTTTCAGATACTTGCTTCACTTTTCAGGGAAGGAAAAGATATTCAGACACAGAAACAGGGAGTTTTTCATTGTACCTCAACCAGCAGGGTTCTGATCAGGGTATCCTTCCACCCTGCCTCTGGCCTCCCAGATGTTCGGTTCTCACACTTGCTAGCATTCTGCTTGGTCTCAGCAGTAACACTGAATATCACGTCACCTGGAAGAACACCCCATAAAGAGAAAACAGTTACCTCCATTGCCCAGTGTGATAGCTGAAGTTAGCAGATTTCTTCTGGCAACAGCCCTCTCCATGTGACAAAGCTGCAGTTCCGAATGTTGCTGATCAGCTGGTGTGATTATCATTATCCTAAATGAGCAGCCATAGGGTGATGAAGCTCTGAGCTCTATACATGGAAAGGGGCAGAGCAATGCAGTTCTCCATAGTGCACCTCCCAGACAAACAAGGTTGGGGCAATGTAGCTCCAAGTTCTATGTGCTTATGAGATGGACTATTTGGGTTTGGACTTTTGGTGACTAGACTAGCCTCAGTCCTGGGAGAGAAAGCTGTGCAGACACTTACCAAGTTTTTTGGAGATAATATTCCAGACATAGGTTTTCCTCTCATTGGCGCACACACATCCATCGTCTCCCTCTGGGGAGAGGAGCTGAGCTTGGTAATCTTGGGAACTGGCCAGCAAAATACTAACCTGAGAGTGGAGAGAAATAATGATGTGGTACAGGCTATATCAGACACAGGAACTCCCTTCTGTCTCCAATGGATATCCAATGCCAGAGCTCCAGGACAGTAGTGGGACAGGGGATGCCATGGTATTGGATGGACCACTCTTCACTCAGTTAAATCTCCCTTTTTCTTGTTTCTAGTAGCTATCCATAGGGACATGAACTATAACATTGCAGTAGGTAACCCAATATTCTGAGCAGTACCCATGCTCACACTCAGTACACAAGGTGACTTGCATAGGAAAGCATTGCCTGCATTTCCCTCCCCCCTCTCCCCTGTTTTATGGGATACATTGAAGGCCACAAAGGGTTGTTACTTTTTCTTCCAAACATTTTTCTGAATTATTTTCTAGATTTCTGTGTTTTGTTGCAGGACTACTAGGAAAACTGGAAAGAGATTGTGACATCACAAGATGTAGAGAACAGAAGGGGTTTTTAGTCAAATTATTTAAACCTCTGGCGTCTTTTTGTCTGTTATCTATTTAACTCAGACACTTAAACAGGAAAAAAGTCTTTTTCTGAAAGATTCAAACACACCTCTTTAAAGGCTAACAAAGTACATACTAAAAACCAATAAATGGTCTGGTAGCACTTCATAGACCAACAAAACATGTAGATGGCATCATGAGCTTTCGTGGGCACAGCCCACTTCTTCTGATGACTGGAGTTTTTGCTGAAGTTCTCCAGTTATCCCAGGAGACCTCCACCAAAAAGAGGATATATTGAAATCTCATGATATAATATTAAAATCAAGCATAAAAAAAATGTAACTAGGGATAAAAGTCAAAATACAAGAAGGTACAAGTATTGTTCACATCCCCGTTAAGCTGTGTGCATCCTGTTGAGGAGTGTGCTGCACCCCACAGTTATTGGAAGTGTTCTGCCTGGAGGATAGTGAGGCAGAATCCCTCTGTGGTTAGCTGGAAAAAAAGCACATTCAAACACAGCTCTACACCTCCTGTCCTCAAGGGCAGAAAGCGCTGCCTCATGCTGCAGAATGGTACACATGAAGTGCAGGCTATTTGCCATAGGCTTCAGAAGCTGGCTAGAGCCTCTGCCTAGGCAAACACTCCTCTGATGCTCCCTGTCTCCAGGCAGGAGTTTGAATCTGACCAGACTCAACTTCTCTCCACATCCTAATTTACACTGTGGGAGGCCCAGGTTCTGCCTCTGCAGTAACCCTAAAGCATAAATGATGCTATAGGAACTCCTAAAAATCCTGGTTAATGTGGTAACGTTGCTTATCTATTAGAGCACATGCTCACTTAAAGTTGTGCAATGCTCTCTTACAAACTTGTTTGGCTGCCTATTTGTCCACCACTTGTAGGACTTTCTAGAAAAGCAGACTGGCCCTGTGAGGGTTTGCAGCCAGGGTGGGTTGGCAGCTCCCCTAAGTTCCGTATAAGGTATATGGTTGGGCAGCTACAGGTCAGCTGTGCCTCCACCCTCCACTGCAGTGCTGCTTCTGCCATCTGCCTTAGAGCTAATCCAGCAAGCCTTCCGCTTGCTGTTCACTGCCCACCCAATGGCTTCTCCCTGAGGTTGACCCAAGGGTAGAGGCTGGGCCACATGACAACCAGCAGCTGCTCCTCAAGGCAGGCCAGGGTGGTAGGAGCTGTAGTGCTGACCAGCATCTGTTACCTGTGGCTGGGATGCTTGCTGCCCCCTTGTGGTTATTCGGAAGTATAAATGTCCCTGTGCTCACACCCCTCTTTTTCTGTTTGTTGTGAAAAAAAAAAATCACATTCCATTCACGTCCCATTGTACTGGCACAACTGAACCCTGACCTTACTTACCTTATGATAAGAGGAAGCTGCATACCAAAGTTAGGGGTGCTAACAAGCTCTTACTATTTAAGAGGAGTTCTCGAACAAACAGACATATAGATGGATAGACAGACACACCGACAAACAGATGCACAAATTCTCTAAAACAGTGTTTTTCAACTTTTTTTTTTTATAAAGTACGCCCTTTTTTAAAAAATAAAAAATTATAAATACACCCAGTACCTACAGTTTTCAGACACACATTTTTTTTCCCTATCATTGCAACACATTTGTTTAAACAACTTAACTGTAGCTGGGCAGGCAATTAAATTTTTGAGCGTAAAAAGCACAAAAATAATGAAGCACTGTAAAACTGAAAACAAAAATTCAGTTTTCTCCAAATTTCAGCTGTGATGACGTACCCTCCAGATTTTTCTTGAGTAGCCCTAAAGGGTACTCGTACTACTGGTTGAGAAACACTGCTCTAAAATATATAGTAGATTAATATACTGCCTTTGGTCTAACCTAACACCCCTAGTTACAATTTTAGGGGGAAACTGGTTTGATTTAACATTGTTTAGCTTAAAGTAACATTTTTCAGGAACATAACTACAAGGTTGAGCAAGGAGTTACTATATGTACACACCCACATTTCTGGTCTCTTCAGCTCCCCAAGGACATTCTCAGGACATAATTCAACATGTTTTGTGTCTGCTTTGTAGTGGCTCAGAGGGACTGGTGTAACCATACTGACTTGCTACAATACAGATAGGTTTTAACAAATTTACGATATTGCTTGTCTTAGCCAGACAAGCAGGAGTTCTCGAAAGCCCCATCCAGGTTGGGAGGACAGATTTAATCAGTGAGAGGAGAAGAGGACACACCATGATACATTTGTCCAGGTAGTTGAAGATGTTGGCTCTAAGGAGGAAGTCTTCTCCCCGGATGATGGAGAAGGGCAGGGTCATATCAACAAAGAAAGGCTGGAAGGCCGACAGAAAGGTGGGTGCAGAGATTCCAAATCCAGCCTTCTTCTCCAGACAGAAGACACTGGCTTTCCATTTGGTGATGGTGTCAGGGATGGTGAATACGATGTTGGCCTCACCAATGGAACTAGAGGAAATGGGGCAAAACACATATGCGGTACTCAGTAGAGAAAACCAATTTTCAAAAGATTCAGCAGAGTGAGCACTGCCCATGTTCTGCTTGGAGAATTCCCCTTGGTACCTGAGTGCCCGAAACTTATCACTCAAATTCTCTGAAGAGAAACCTCTAGAAAATTCTCATGCCACTTTCCTGAGGTAACAGAACAAGTTGGTGGCAGAACATGGAACAGGTTACAGAGTTCTTGACTCCTGCTCTAGGCCTTCAAGACATGATATTTCTCCCTCTCAATGGTAGAGCCTCACCTGCTGAGTACTTTATTTAGGAACATGCCCTGACAGACTTGAACAATATTACCATGGATGGATGAGGAGGGGAGGGGAAAAGAAAAACATGCAAATGGCTAAAGGAAGGGTTCCTCTCAAGGCAATGGTGGGCCCTTAAAAAGAAGATAGGGAGATGAAGAAGCAGAACTCACTTTAGTAAAACTAGATCCCAAATCCATGTCTCTGGGAAGTATTTCCGAATAATCTCTGTTATGATTCTGTCTTGAGAATCGTCTGCAGAGACAGTTTCTGTTAAAGGGGAAATGCGGAGCCTGGTTAAACCCAAAGCATTTAGCAAAGGTATAGTGGCAGAGTGGCCATGCATTCACATTATGGATCAAATTGATATCACAGTGTTTATCCCCAAACCTGGTAAAGCTGGGCCAATGGCAGGCAAATCACTGTCCCTATCTCCATACCAACTTGCCTCTGACTTGCTCAGGAGAGGAGGCCTTTAGGGAAAGCAGGAAATTCAGTCTTTGTCATCTACTGAGTTCCAGTTGTGGTGCGCATTTTTGAATGTGACTACCTATGTCATCCAGAATTGGACAGAGATCCATTTCATGTAGTCCAGCCAATGCTAAACGGATGGGCAGGAAACAGTTTTCCCATCCCTTAAATATTTTTAAATGATCAACTTTTGGGAAAAAAATCTCTTTTATTAAGAACAAAGAATAAAATCTTCACATACTAAATCATACAGTACTTACATTCAGGATCACATTCAAAGGCCAGGACAAAGAGTCATCTCAAAAATGGAATAAAAAGTTGAAATCTCAAAAATATTCAGGAACTGAAAAACATTGGTTCAGGACAAACAGATTCATTAATAATTCATTTCAATAACTGCAAAATGTCTTTTTTCAATTTTGACCTTTTTCCTCTTTTTTATCCTTTCAGTATAATTTTCTTAAATTTTGCAACAAAAAGTAATTTCAAATGGGAAAAAATTGTTTTTTTAAAATGTTAGAATGATTAAATGAAACATTAACAATTGCAAAACTTTTCTTTTCAGTGCAGTTTTAGAGTTATGAAACCTGTTGAATCGGAACCAGCTGTGGAGCTGGGGGTATCTTTGGACAACTGTGGCAAGTCGTTGCATTTATGTAGCCCTGATCTTTCTTGCGTCAGTCCCTACAACATTCCCAGGAAGTAGGCATTGCAAATGCTAGTTGACTTGCCCATACTTACCCAGGGAATCAATGGCAGAGCCTGAAGTAAAGCCTGAGTGTGACCCGAAAGTGCCCCTGGGTTCATATCCCATACACTAATGCAAGGATGTTCGTTCCATATATACTTTGTGAGGTATTGCTTGAAAAGAAATAGCACGTTGATGCCATTGCAAAACGCATGTGTTAACCCTCTATATGACGTTATGAAAAGATTCTGTAAAATGTTACTAGAAGCTGTGTAGAAAACAGCCATGCCTAGGAAAGATGTTTATGCAGGTCTGTCCCAGACCAAGAAATGTGTGTTTACCTCAATTTATATGTTAGCCATGAACAAAGCTATCAAGCAGCAAGGGATGTTGTGAGCCTGAACTTGAGAGGGAGTGAATTATCATGGCTCCTACCTCCCAGAGAGACACGGGAGACTATATATTATCTTTGAGAACAGAGACATTCTTTGGAAATAAGGGACAGGAAGATACTTCATCTTTATCCTACACCTAGGACAAGAGAAACCAGCCCCTCACAGTTCTATGGAAGGTCCTGACAGAAACAGTCAACTAAGCTGGACTAAGAGTAGTTGGTGAGGAAAACCAACCGAGGCAGTGCCTTGCTAGATAAGTTTTAGACTTTTAGGTGCATGTTTTCACTTTAATTTGCTTGTAGCCATCACTGCCTTTATTTCTTGTACTTGGCATCTCTTAAGCTATGTCCAATTGTTAATAAACTTGTTTTAATGAAAACCAGCCCACTGCCATGGCTGAACTGAGCAACTGTTAACTCCAGTCAACACAGCAGGCTCCTAGGACTGTTTCTTTAAAGGAAGAAATGAGCCTTTTGATAGCTCCGAGAGGTTCAACAGAGGGTGTATACTTCAGGGTGTATGGTTTTGGGAAAAGTCAGGACTGGGAATATGCTGAGGCCACTTGCTAGTACCAACCTAGGCTGGTGAATACCAGTGTGGCTGCACTTTG